TTATACTCTCAAACATGTCGTACTGTTTACCTGTTTGGTCTCTTACAACAAATGAAATCTTAGAACCCATAGTTAGGCTCTACAACAGGGCCTACAAAATTCGTAAAAAACTTCCTGGTTNCATCTTTAATGATTAACCCCAGGAATGTGGTGACTAGTTTAATAGGGTTTAGCCAGCTGTCAGTCCTGACAAGCTATAAATCAACAAACGCACTCATGAGCCAGGGCTGGCCCATGTGCAGTTTAGCAATAAAAGCAAGTGATTACCAACAAACTCAAAGGGAGAAACTAAAGATTGATGCTCCACACATAACAACAAAATGACAGGGAAGAGAATTAAGTGAAAGCATTTGAAAAAAGTCTGAGCGACTTTAATTTCTATGAATTTGTTATATTTGATGAAAGTATGCTAGCTATTTTCTAATGAGCTTTTAACGTTTCCTGTAAATATTTGGTTTTTTATGTTCAAAGTATGCTTTTGCAGCACAATAAATCAATATGTGTGGATTTGATTGACAGAGGAGAGGTTAGAAATTTGTTTTTCTTTAAAAAGACTAAATAATGATTAATGAAAAGCAAGATGTTGCATCCTATTTTCATATCACTCTAACATGAATTATCTAGCCAAGATAATATGTTGGAAAATGTGCAAAACCACAAGAGAAAATGCTTTCTCTCTGAGTTTTTCAGTTAAAATTACAGTAGTCCATGTTTATTTAAAGGGGCAATATTATGTGTTTCTCAGGCATATATTTAAATTCTATACCATAATAAAGTAACTATGTCACCTTCAGATGTTTTTAAAATGTTGTTTATTTGTTTAAATAGAAATTAAACTTGACTTCTCATCATATGTTTCTAAATGCCTTGAAATTGGCCTCTGTCTCTTTAAGAACCTCCTTCTGCTTCTGTCCCGAGCATTTCAGCATGGGGTGGGTGGGTGTGTGTGCTCTGTGATGAGGAAGCTCAGCTTGGAGATACAGAGGAGGAGCTGGTCCCAAAAAGCAGTTCTAGTCCCAGCTGGTGGTTTTTGCTCTCCTACCTGGCTGCCTCARGRCACTGCAGGATTTCTCAAACATGCATGAATGAGTCAAAGCAAAACTCTGGGCATGTTTTTGATGAGAGGAGAACATTATAACATGATATAATGTAACTCAAAAAGGTTGATTTTTACATAACATTGACCCTTTAAGAAAATATGACATGTTCTGCACATCCTAGCAGCTGCTCATTTAAAAACACTTTGATTTGTGTGGATTTTTATTTATTTTTTTTTTAGATTAGAGGGGTATATGTATCCTCAGTTTTTAAGTGTTTGAACAACAAAGCTGTTTTTACTCATGGGTTAAAGCTCCAGATGTTTCCTGACAACATGTGAGAGTTAAAAGATCTCATTCTCTGCATGTTTTCAAGATGTTTTACTGGTCATTTTTTTTTACCAAGATTTTATTTCTGTGTTGGTGTAAGTACTAAATTTAAGTGGAATAAAGAGGAGCATATTCAATAATTTATTTTAATTAAAATTTTCATTATACATTATTTGTCAGAATCCCCTAAAGCCCATGTTTTGTGACACAAACTACTTGGAGAAGCTCACAAATTTCTCCCACTAAAACATAACTATAACCTTAGGCACAATGAAAAGATGGAAAAAATAACAAAATTAATGTTATATTTACATATAATCTATGTACTGAAAGGAAAGCATTCAAATTAATGTGTAAATACTGACATCTTACTTAAATTCATGTGTTTTTCTAAATTTTCATTAGCTTCAACTGTTCAGTGTATTTTTGGATTTACATAGTTACTATCTGATACACTGAATTAAAAAACGGGCAATGATGGAGAGCAACTAAAAACATGTTTGTTTCTGCATGTAATGCAGAACAGTTCAACTATCCATGTAAAACACCCAACATCAGCAATCTGCATGAGAAACAGTATTTCCATGTAGAGAAAAAGGTGTTATAATTTAGTTTGGCCCAAGGGCCGTCTGAGCTTTCCGCTGGCCGGCTGCTGACCCTGAGCACATGTTCAGAAGAACACATCAATCAGGACGGCTCTGTCTAAACAGAGGTCAAAGCGTCTCTGTGCGTATATCTCTGTACATCAGAGCTCACACATGATGGAGTGAAATGAGCTCCAGCTTGAAGAGAGGGGTCTAGAAAACTGACTTCACTTAAGAACTGCAGAAAAAAAAAGTCCTTTGGGCTTGCTCACGCTGTAACTTTACACAAACAGTCGATATGCTGCAGACCCGATAGCTTCCTGGGTTCAGTTACAGCCAGGTAAATAAATGCATCTATCTTTAGGCAGCAAGTGTGATTAGAAATAAAAGGTGTCGCRGACCTGTTGGGGATATTCAAATAGGGAACCTTGTCTCAGCTAATCACATTTTTTTCTTCTACAAGCCAGCCTGAAGCTGCTCAGTCACAAAAAGGCTACTTTGATTAAATTGAGGCTGTAGGGGACTCTGAACACAATCATGGAAGTCAAGAGGGAGGGAGGAGGAGAGGGTGGGTTTGTGAGTTTTAAAAGTTACTGTATTGTGTGTGTGGGTGAAAATGTGCCCACGGGTTCAGTATGTGTTTAATGTTTTTTTTTTCAGTTTAGACAAAACACATTAAGATTTTCATGGTTTATCCAAATGTAAAAACACATGATTATACAAATATCCATCACCAGTATACATTTGAATCCATTTACATATTAAAAGCTACAAGTTCACTTTATGTTATATTAAAGCTTCCTTTTTAAAAAAATTAATCAGTGACAAAAAACACTGATGTATGAAATAAAATTACATATAATTAGAATTACCAAATATTAATCATTTAAGTAGACTGGTCATTCATTATTATTGCCTTATAGCCTCCATTAAAAACGTTCCTACATCTAATTTTATGAAATATAAATAATAATATATTAATATACTGCTGAGATCTTAATTTTTCATTTTTTGCCCCCCAGCTGGCTCCACCAGGATTCCAATCAAACATTGGTTGGAAAACCCGGACACATGGTGTGAAATCAGTATCTAAGGCTTCTTATATTTCCATGCTGCTTTTTTATTACTTCCCTGCATCATTTTGTGTGGCATAAACACAACTGTTAACRTACAGCTTGAGTTGGGCGTCAGGCAGATTTGATGCTCATATCAGTTTCTGTTTGCCATATTTGTCTGTTTCACACCAGGAATACGGGGAGTCGTTTTATGGCTCGAGGCTAATGCGGTTCTGATCCACATCCATAAACCATAGAGGCTGGGCTCGGTGCCCGCTGCTGCCAATTACAAAAGGTCTGTTTTGTGCCAAGCCTTTTAGCAGAACAAACATATGTACAGATAAAGATCTGACATGCCTGAACACAGCGTATGCCACAGTGTGACGAAACATAAGCACATAAAAGCTCATGTTAAGAGAGGCATGCATCTTTACAGTTGGGGTGTGCAAGAGCGGTGCTTCCTTCCTGCAAAAACAGAAAAAAAAATGTCATGAGTCAGGCTGAGATGCGAGTTGTCCCGGCAACAGAGGAAAACAGCAGCTGCAGCATCATGGCTGGTTTGTTGGGATAAACTGCAGCAGGGAGGCGTATTGAGATGAAGCACGCGGCTGAGCTGAAGGAATTACTCCTGGGTGTGTGTCCAATTACCACTCGGAACTTCACAAAGGATGTAAACAAAACAAAACCAGCTCCTTTTACTGAACCTAGGAGGACAATGTCAAAGAGTGAGAAACTAATCTTCGTATGCTCATAAGTTTCATGCTTCAAATGTTTAGTTCATGAAGTAACAACTTAGACTAGAGATGTGTTTATTAGGGTTGGGCATAATCGTATCGTCTGCAATTAATTGTCAGAAAAACATTAATCGATTATTTTTTGGCACTTGACAATTAATACAATTAATGCCAGCAGGCAGACTGACTGGATATAACCCCGGTCAGTCCGCTCGGTGCTCCTCTCCGCTTCAAATATGACGAACACTTAAAACAAAAGTTCTGTCATTTATTTATCAACACAATTTAAAATTTGATGCATAGCCTGAAGTCTGTAATTTTGACAGAGTTTGAAAAAGATTTTTACGAAGAGCAAATCTTTCCCACTAAATTGATCATGTGACTAGGACATAAGGGTGTCCAGGGACTCCAGGGGATTAATCGTCAAATTAATCGTTATCGGCTAAATACCACAATTAATCGTGATTAATTTTTTCACCAATATCGCCCGACCCTAGTGTTTATGGCCAAAAAATAAATAAATAAAATAGATTTGCACTGCATTATGTGAGAGGTTACAATTTTTTTTGACTGATCTGACTATAATTATGTTTTTCTCAATCGGTTAAAAAAAGAATAATCTGCTGTGTTTGTGTGTAGCTTTCTTCATTTAAATAATTTTAGCCTGTCTGCCACCCATTAGAGTCGCACTGGCTTCTTTTGTTTGGCAGCT